TTGTTACATATTACACGTACAGCACAAATACATAATTGTTTGTTACATATTACACATACAATACAGACACATAATTGTTTGTTGCATATTACACATACAATACAGGCACATAATTGCTTGTTACATATTACACGTACAACACAAATACATAATTGTTTGTTACATATTACACATACAATACAGACACATAATTGTTTGTTACATATTACACATACAATACAGACACATAATTGTTAGTTACACATTACACGTACAATACAAACATATAATTACTTTTTACATATTACTCGTGCAGTACAAACACATAAATGTTTATTACATATTACACGTACAATTGAAATACATATTTTTGTTACATATTACATAATAATATGTTTTAGTTACTTATTAAAAATGCAATAGAAATACGTATTTGCTAGTCACGTAGTACACGTGCTGAAACAAATACTGATTACTAGTTACATAGTACACACGCTGAAACAAATACTGAAACATTACTAGTTACGTAGTACACGTAGTACACGTCCCGATACAGGTATTAATTACTTGTTACGTAGTACACGTGCTTATACAAATACTGGTTACTAGTTACATAATATACATGTTGATACAAATACTAATTACTAGTTACATAGTACACGTGCTGATACAAATACTGATTACTAGTTACATAATACACATGCTGATACAGGTACTAATTATTTGTTACATAGTACACATGCTGATACAAATACACGAATTATTGTTACATATTTTTATTATTATAAGTTCTTGTAACTTAATATAAATGCCAATACAATACACGATTGCTAGTTACATAGTTGCATACGAATACTAACTAGTTACAAAATACACGTGCTAATAAAAATGCTAACTATTTACATAGTACACACACTGAAACAAAAAAAGATTGTACGTACCAGTACAAATACATGTTTGTTAGTTACATACTGCAAATACAAATATGTATTGTCGTAATGTCGTATTTATATATTATATAATTATACATATTTATATATTACATATGCCAATACAAATACATAATTACTTCTTATATATTACATATGCCAATACAAATACATGATTACTTCTTATATATTACATATGTCAATACAAATACATGATTACTTCTTATATATTACATATGCTAATACAAATACATGATTACTTCTTATATATTACATATGCCAATACAAATACATGATTACTTCTTATATATTACATATACCAATACAGATACATGATTACTTCTTATATATTACATATGCCAATACAAATACATGATTACTTCTTATATATTACATATGCTAATACAAATACATTATTACTTCTTATATATTACATATACCAATACAAATACACAATTACTTCATATATATTACATATGCTAATACAAATACTCGATTACTTCTTATATATTACATATACCAATACAAATACATGATTACTTCTTATATATTACATATACCAATACAAATACATAATTACGTCTGATATATTACA